CATGCTGAAATCACCAGCAGAAGAGTCCCTCTGGACGACTTTCCTATGTTCTCTGAGATTGACTCTAAACCAGTCATTGTTCTCAGATACTTGGATGCGTGTAAAGCTGATGGCACAGATCCTGATCTGAACATCAAAGATCTGCACCAGCAAGCACCAGAGGTTACTTTGAAGAAGACTAAGAAGAGAAAGGCTGCATCAGAAGGACCGTCTCAGCAGACCCCAAAGAAGAGAGGTAATCTATCTGCTGTTAATGTTTTAAATTCATCTGTTGTTCCAACATTTATTCCAACCCCAGCTTCATTTGAAATCCCAATTCCAACCATTGATGATACTGAACCCGAGTTTGACCCTTTTGAGTCATTAACCCTCAGAAGATCCCGCGCCAAACCTACAACCTCAACAGAACCAGAACTTCAAAAAGTTCTTTCAGAAATTGATCAACACTCTTCCGCTCCCAATACAGAAAATCCAAACCCTCAAGCAGAATCTTCTCACTCACTTCAACCAGAAACCACACTTTCTCCACAACCAGAAATTCCACAACCTCTATCTCCACAACCAGAACTTAATCCACCCTCACCTCAACACTCTGAGTCTCAACACTCTGAGGCTCAAACCCCTGAACCTCAATCACCTGAATCCTCTGAACCACAACCCTTGGCCATTCAACTGCCTTGTGGTACAACTGTAAACATACCTCAACTACCATCATCACCAGAAACTACTCCACCTAACACTCCACACAGTCCAATAATCATTTCTGACTCTCCTACTCCCTCACCCAAACAAAATCCAGATGACCACAACAAGACCTTCATTGATCTAACAGTCCTTGACCGTCTTGCTGCTCTTAAAAATAAAATCGCCATTCCCAAACCCAAACAACCAGATGTTGGTTCTAGCATCTTAAATTTTGAAACAGGCATGCAGAATTGGATTGCTTCTCTAAAGCAGGCTTGTCCGGGAGTGATTGATCCTGCTGCTTCAGACCAACTCTAGACACAATTCGGAAAGTGGGTACGCGCTGAAACCTTTAAGCTGCAAGACATAAACTATGAACAGGCTCAACAGAACTTCAGCAATCTGCTGAAAGAAGTTAAAGGTCCAGTCATGAGTCAGCTGCTGAAGGAGGAAGTGCTTCTTCTGGACAGTGAGCCTTGGTCTGAAAAGCGTCCAGCTTCCACAGTTCAACCAGCAGAAGATCAGACGATTCCAGCTGAAGATTTTAGTCAAGAAGAAGATGTTGCAGAAAGCTCTCAGAAGCATCCTGATTCTGACGTCTCTCAAGCTGCATTGGACAGGCAGACTCTTGAAGAGCTGAAGCAAAATGATATTCGTCTGCAGAAAAGAATGGATGAGAATTATCAACGAATGAAGGAAAGGATGGATGTGCAAGATAGTAAGATTGATTCAGTAGCCAGCATGGTGCATCAGCAGAAGGAAACCGCTGATCAGATTAAGAACATGCTAGAAGCTCTGTTCACACGCCTTCCACCCCAACCTTAGATTTTGTTTCTTAATGTTTTCATTGTTTTCTTTACATATCTTCTGTACTATCTTCTAAGCTTTGAACTAAATTCAATGGTTTTTCTGCACTGATCGTTTTAACCTCAATTACTTACACTTTTTGATTGCTGACAAAAAGGGGGAAAAAAGAATGATATTTATCAATAAAGGATTACTGAGACAAAAGTATCAAACATTCTAACACTCTGATATACTTGAATGTTTCTTTGTTTTGCATAAGCTTACAGGTACAAGAATTTAATTATCTCTGATACACTGAAGCTCTGCTCCAGAAAGATCTGACGCTCAAAGAAAGTTCAAGAAAGATCTGACGCTAAAGGACTCATGGAATTAAAAGGGAAGTAATAAACTCAGGGGGAGTTTTTCTGATCATAACTCTGATAGTTTTTCTTCTTTATCTTCTTAAGATCTGATACCTTTTTATTCCTCCTCATCTTTGATACCTACCTGTCTATCTCTAATACAATCTATTATTTGGTTATCTCTGATATTTTTCCTTAAATTTCAATTGAAAATATCCGGTTTTTGTCATCATCAAAAAGGGGGAGATTGTTAGAACAAAGTTTGAATCTACTACCCCAAGTTATAGTTTTGATGATAACAAAATGCTAGATTAAATAAATTGTATAATTCGTATGAGACATATATGTTACCTAAAAGTTATATTGTACATTTACAGAAACTCTAATGGATACCAGCATAAGAACATCAATATCAGCATCAGAAGATGAAACATCAATATCAGCATCAGAAGATGAAATATCATATGCCAGCATCAGAAGATCAAAGCATGTGCTTACGCTGAAGCTTGATGAACAGATCTGCGCGTAACATATCTTAAACTCTGATCAAGACCAAAACAATATCATCAGCAGCTAGAAGCATCAGAATAAGCCAAAGCAAGCAACACGCTTAAGTGACAACGGTACTGTGCATTCAAGACACTTTATTACCAACGGCTGTATTCCAAGACAAGATCTTCTCAATATGGAAAGAACATAATGGACATTGAAATGGCATAATTGACTACAACGTATCTTTTCCAAATGCTATATAAACAAGTCAGTGAAGAATGAATTGGCTAATGCTCTACAACTCTTTACACGTCAAAAGCTAAACATCTTCATCCTCACTCATACAAGTTGCTATATCTCTAAAATTTCTTACTCCATAGATATAACATCCTAGTTTCACATAAGCTTTATTTTGTGTATTATCACAGGTGTGATATAGAGTTTTTATAGAAAACATTCAACACACATAGTTTTCATTTATCTGTAAGAAAGAATTTCCTTGAGAAACCGGTCTGTGGTTTAGACTCAAGAAGGCTTTAGCAGTTGTTAAAGCAATTGTAATATTCAGTTGAATATAGTGGATTAAGACCTCGTTGGAGAGAGGAGAAATCACCTTGACGGGTGGACTGGAGTAGTTTGAGATCAAACGAACCAGGATAAAAATAACGTGTTGTCTGCATTTGATTTCAAGGTTTACAATTCAACTCCCCTTCTTGTGTTTTTCACTTCTTCACTTAGGTTTAAAGGCTTGCATGAGGGCTATAGGTAAGTACCCTTTCGAAGCTTCAGTTGGCTCAACCTGTCCTAGCAATAGTAATCGGGTTCTAGGGATCTCATATCATTGACCTTTCTCTGAGGTATTGTTTCAGCTCAAGCATCTGAATTACGGCCGAAATATCCTAAAAGTCCAATCTCAATGAGTGTAACATCGAGTATCAACCAACTTCAATCTACACCAAAGCCGACTATCTCACTACTTTCTAATGGCTAAGATGAGTCAATTTAAGGTTCTAAAGGTCAGTTAGCATGTAATGACACTATGTGGAAGCCTAATGTTATCCTTGACTGACTCAAGGAACATTAGTACAAGCCAGAGTATCATGCTAACGTAGCTATCATATCATCCAATATTGGTCTACGCCATACAACCTCCATGATTTATTTCTAATTACCTTAAAGGTGTCCCAGATCCAGGTATACGATCTTTAACAATAACCCAAACATAAACTCGAAAAGATTAAGCACACAAATAAAAAAAGATAAGCAATTTAAATATGTTTTAGCTCTAAGGTAACCCCACTTTAATTTTACTCCCCAGCAAAGTCTCCAATTCTATAATACAGTGGGAGAACTGAGTATAATGGTTTTGTGTTTTATCGCAAATGTCGTGGTTAGCAAGATTCGCCACCGACTTTTCTTTTATCAAACAAAGGAAAGGGGAAAAGAACAGGAAAGACCTTTCGAGATTATTTTCTGAGTAAGGGGGTAGGTTATGGAAAGGAAAGGTGTTAGCACCCTTTCCATCCGTAGTTGTCTATGGGCTCTTAGTTGCTAGATCATTTTGAAAATTCTTTTTGTGTAAGTGTGTTTTGAAAATATTTTAAAAAGACGCCTTAGTGTGGAGAACTTTGTAATGTTTCTCATTTCGGCAAGAATGTATACAAAGTGTTTTCATGCCTTTGAAAATATTTAGACAAAATTTGGTGTGTGTATAAAAATTGTTTTGTTTTAGCAAGCAACTAAGAGCTATCTACCTACTCGAAAGATTTGTTCTTTTCCTCTTTCCTTTAGATAGTGTCGTCCTACTATTAGTGAGTAGGTAGTCCTGTCGTTGGATGTCTTTGAGGGACAAGCGAGGGTCATTGTACAGTCATAAAGGCAACTTGTAGGATGCTTTAGAAATTTATCGTAAGGGACTAGATCATTTACGGAAAGGCAACATCGAAGGGTTATCGAGGGACTATGATCTTTTTAACCAAGGGTCTTTTCTAAAGTGTCCCATATTCGAGGGACATGACTGCTTTATTCTAAAGGCAACAAGTGGGATACCTTAGAGGTGTGTGTGTGCAAGTGTGTTGTATTTTAGTTATTTATCTTTGGATATTAAGTTTGCTAGCATTTGCTTTTAATCTTATCATACAATCCTATTAGGCTAAACAATTAATATCAGTACGAAAAAATAAAGTGTGAAATTTAAATCTACGCTACTACATGGCTTCGAGAAAGGGGAATTACGAATCCAAAACGGGAAAATAAAAAGCAAGGTCCTAAATCTACACCTATTACATCCTTTTACAGTTACATCAATATAAAAATGTGAAATTTAAAATGAGTGCGCAAATATGGAAAGAGAAATAAAAACCCAAAAATTCCTAAACAATTAGAATATTTTTGTTGTTTTTATTTGTTTTAAGAAAGACTTAAATTAAATCTAATAACAAATAAAGAAAATTAATTCTAATATTTCTGGTATTTTTATTGAGAAGAAAAAAAAAAGATTTGAAATGAATTAAACCTAGTTCTAATTTATTTTAAATTAATCAAAACAAGTCAAAATAATTAAATTAATAAAATTAATTAATTTTCAAAAATTAAATTTAATTGGAACTTAGGCGTCGAAGAAGCGGCGGGGACGGCCACTAAACAGGGCCTCTCTTCCTCTGACGACCCCAAAACATGTACAAAGTGTTGTGGGAGAGGTAGATGTGGGTGAAACGAGTCATGTCCTGGAGGATTCTGTAGAGGAAAACAATGTAGGTGAAGCTGAGAAGGCCAATTTAGGGGATTGTCAAAACCCTAAAGAGGTAAAAGGTAAACTTAGTGGGGAAAATCTAGACGAGACACAAGGCAACAATGGCACTAGTAAATTGTGGATTGATGTAATTAAGGGGAATCAAAATACTATATATGGAAAAGCCTTGAAGTTTGTGGCACCAAAAGTAGTAGCTGGGAAACCGGTGGTTGAAATTGAACATGAAGATGTAGAATCAGAGCTTAGGTTCTGGGGGTCTTCGCTTATCATATATGCTATTGGTGTTGATATGAGTATGAATGTTGTCAATAACTACATGATCAAGGAATGGTACTTTGTTAAATTGCCTGAAATGTTTTACAATGAGGAAGGCTTTTTAATTTTGAAATTTAAGACAATTAAGGAGCGTGAAGTTGTTATGTTGAAGGGCCCTTACACAATTCGAAACATGCCAATGATAATATTTAAATGGCGTCCTGATTTTTCTATGGAGAGAGATATGTTGAGGACATTGCCGATTTGGGTTAAACTCCCTAAGCTTCCAACTCACATGTGGGGGGTTTCTAGTCTAGGTAAAATTGGTAGTGTCATTAGGAGTACTCTTTTCACAGATGTGTGCACGATTGATAAATTGAGGGTTTCATATGCCCGTATATTAGTGGATGTAGATGTAACTCAAAAGCTGCAAGAGGAGTTTGATATCCATTATGATGGTTGCGATAGAATTCAAAAGGTCGAGTACGAATGGCGTCCAAAATACTGTGAGAAGTGCCAAAAGGTGGGGCATATTTGCAATGTGGAGAAGAAACCTACAGTAAAAATGTGGCAACAAATAGATGGTAAGGGGAGAGGAGAAAGAAGTCTAGCCAACAAAGAAGGGACTCTTGGATCACATGAGGGGCCTGTGATGATAAATGGGGTTTCAACAAGTACAAACAACAACCCTGTGGATACTGAGGCAACTTGGACAGTAGTGCTGAAAGGTAATAAGGAAAAAGGTAGTAACAATGTTGAATGCTTAAATAATCTGTTTAGTAATAACGGTTTTAGCACCTTAGAGGTTTGGCAGGACCATAAGGTGAGTCCCCTAGGGGTTACATAATTATCTCTTGGAACGTTAGGGGGATTAACAAAGTAGCTAAGCAAAGAGATATTGGCTCCCATCTCTTTAAGCTACAACCTAGGATTACTATTCTTTTGGAAACGCGTGTTAAGAAAGAAAACTCTGTTAACTGTAGAAAGAAAATGGGTGGAAATTAGATGTCCAATGTTAATTATAGCAACCATAATAATGGGAGAATTTGGTTTATGTGGAAAGCTAGAAAAATTAGAGTGAAGGTTGTGACTATGACGGAGCAATTGATTCATTGTGGGGTGTACAATAATGATGACAACTTTGTGCACTGGGTAACAATTGTGTATGCCTCTAATAAGTTGGAGAAGAGAAAAGTTCAATGGAAAGACATCTGCAACATTGGCAAAAACTAGCAAGGGGCATAGACTGTTAGGGGGGGTTTTAATAATTTCCTTGGCTATCAAGACAAGATAGGTGGCAAAGTGGTTAGGGATTCTGAGTTCTGCGATCTCAGAGACATGATGGAGGAGTCCAGTCTGTTTGCTATAAACAGTCACGGTGCGAAATTTACTTGGTTTAGTAAACATGTTGAGGGCCCTATATATTCCTGTATTGATAAAGTCATTGGTAATTTGGAGTGGATTCAGAAAAATGATGATAAGAATGTTTATATTATTGAGCCGAGAGTTTCTGATCATGCGTTGGTCTGCATTACAGAAGGTGAGCAAGGGCCTAAACCCAAGACAAATTTCAAGTTCATAAATGCAACTATTTATTTGGAAAACTATAACAATGAGGTTAGTGTCAATTGGAAGAAGTCTGTTAAGGGCCACCAGTTTCAACTGCTTTGGAATAAGCTTATGAGGATGCAGCAGGTTGTTAGGAAGTTGCAAAAACCCCTGGTAAGCATATCCAGCCAAATTGTTTAGAAGAGACAACAATTACAAGATGTTCAGTCGTGTATGACCCTCGATAGAATGAATCCTAGTCTAATCACTCAGGAGAAGAATTATACTGAGGATTTGATGAAATTACATGAATGAGAAGAGAAAATTTTGAGACAGAATGCAAAAATTGAGTGGATAAGAAAAGGGGATGGTCATAATAGTTTTTTCCATGCTTCCATGAAAAAGAAAAATAGCCAGAAGATTATTAGTTTGATGTACAAGGATAATGGTGATATCTGTGATATTCCTGAAGCCATTGAGAAGGAGGGGTTCTGGATTTTTATAGAGGGCTGTTGGGGACTGCTGATTCCAATATTCTGGGGGTTGACATTGTTGCTCTAAGAAGAGGGAGTAAATTGAGTAGGGAGCAGAGGGCTATGCTAAGCAGCTCTATTTTAGAGAAATAAGTGTATGAAGCCTTGCATAATATTAGTGATCAAATGTCTCTAAGTATCGATGGGTTTGGATCTAAATTTTTCAAACACTCTTGGAAGTTTGTGAAGGCTGATGTGCTCAACACAGTTAAACTTTTCTTTGAAGAGGGTATCCTGGATAGAAGGCTCAACAGGACATTGGTGACTCTTATTCCAAAGCATGGGAATTCCCTAAATATTAAATATTTTCTCCCTATATCTTGCTGCACTACTGCCTACAAAGTCATTTCCAAAATTATGGCCAACAGGATGAGCAATGTGCTTGGCAGTATTATTAGTAAAAACCAGGAAGCATTTGTGCCTGGCCAGAAGATCCACGATCATATCCTCGTTGTGTATGAGCTTATTAGAGGTTATAGTAGAAAAGGGGGAGTGCCTTATTTTATGATGCAGATGGACATTATGAAAGCTTATGATTCTGTGGATCGGATTGCGTTGCAAACTATCTTGGCTGAGTTAGGTTTTCCGAGGAGATTTGTCAGGTGGGTTATGAAAACTATGTCAACTGTTTCATACCAATTTAATATCAATGGAAGATCCTCTTTGATATTGAAAGATGCTAGAGGGCTGAGATAGGGGGACCCCATCTCTCCCCTTTTGTTTGTTGTGATAATGGAATACCTCCATAGAAAACTGGATACCCTGACCTCTATTCCTAATTTCAATTTCCATAGTAAATGCGAGAGGCTGAATTTAGTTGAGCTAAGTTTTGCTGATGACCTCTTAATATTTTCTATAGGTGATATTGTCTTTGTCCAGTTGCTAATGGATATCGTCTCTATGGTGGTTTGAATGTTGTTGAGCAGGCTGTTTTGCAGCAAATCACAGGGTTTAGTAGAGGTTGTCTGCCTTTCACTTATTTTGGGATCCCTCTTAATAGAAGAAAGTTGTCTTCTTCTCAATGTTGTGAGCTTGTGGATAAAATCAGTTCACGAATCAGATATTTGAGCTCCCACTTACTAACCTATGCTGGCAGGGTTCAATTAGTGAATACGATGATTTTTTGGTGTGCCAATTATTAGATGAGTTGTCTTCCTCTGCCCATAGGTGTGACCAAGTAGCTTGCAGCTATGTGCAGAACTTTTGTTTGGGCTGGAAAATATATTGTATCGAGAAAGTCCCCTGTGGCGTGGGAGAGGGTGTGTGCTCCTAAGAAGCAAGGCGGGTTAGGTATTATCAACCTGGTCGTGTGGAATAAAGTGTGTATGTGCAGACTGCTTTGGAGTCTTAGCAACAAAGTCGACAACTTGTGGGTCCGGTGGATACATGCCTATTATGTGAAGAATGATGATATTATGCTAATTGATATAAAGGATAATGGCTCCTGGATCCTGCGCAGCATCCTTCAGATTAGGCCTAATGTGAAGAGGTTAACCCAGTGGGATAGCTTAAAGAGATCTGAGAAATTCCCAATGAACAAGGCGTACGCTGAATTTTTGAAGGAGATTCCCAATGTGGTTTGGGGTGGTATTGTTAGGAGTAATATTGCTAGGCCTCGTGCGGTGTTCTTCCTGTGGCTTGCTTGTCACAAATGGCTTCCTACTAAGGATAGATTGGCGAAGATTGGCATGTTCCACCAGCCCAATTTCATATTCTGTAATTGTGCTGAATCGATTCAACACTTGTTTTTTGAATGCAATGTTACTAGTGTTGTTTGGGATGGGGTCCTAAGGTGGTTAAATGTTAACCATAATATTCTGGGATGGAATCATGAACTTGAGTGGATTGTGAAAGTGTGTAGGAGCAAGAATTGGCGTGGTCAATTCCTAAAGATTTCTATAGAGGAAACAATTTATGAGATTTGGTGGGATAGAAATTGGGTTGTGTATAATAAAAACTATACTATTAGGAATACGGTTAGTGCCATTGTGGATAATATAGTGAATAGAGTGTGAGTCTTCCCTAAGTATAGACATAGAATTGCCCAGCTTTTTTTGCCTTACTTTAGAGGGCCAGAGTGGGTTTTTCTTTGCTGGACCCTTTGGGCCGCGTTGTATTGCATCGTTTTTGGTTAATATAATCTTTATTTCCAAAAAAAATTTAATTGGGAAAACCTAAATCTATTTTTTGTGATTTTTTCTGACTTTATCATAAAAATAAAAAATGGTTTTAAAAATGATATAAAATGATTAAATAAATAAAACTAAAATAAAATAAATAAAAAAACAGGAAATGGGTCTGATGTTGTGATGGTTAGGGGGTGCATATTTGAAAACTGGATCCAAGCCCAATATGCCAGTGCTGGATCTAGTGAGGACAGCTTCAGGAGGGTGTATCATGGGGAACACGCTTGGGGTGTTAGATCTGGATTCAAGATGATCTAGTGGCTGAGAGTGAAGGTGCATGGTGCACACATTGGGATCTGGAGTATTGGATATGCAGAAAGAAATTATAAAAATAATATGGCAAGAGGCAGGGATCGAACCCATGCCCTTGCCCACAACAACGCTTTAACACACACTTCTTTCACCGCTAGACCATTCAACTCAATCGTGAATATAACAAAGCAAAAATAATATAATGAGAAATCAATTCTATTCCCATATTTTCAAACGCGCGCGCCAGTTTATTCAATGGACCAATAAGGTGATGACGTTTGGGCCATCAGAGTCACTGCAAGTTAACGATGCTAGAGTCAAACTCCGGTCACCTTCTCTGATCGTCCAAACACCTTAAACCTACGAAAACATGAGATTTACGAATGGTTAAAGGGTCTATCCTACACAAAGTCGAGCCCTGAATCCGATTCTGGCCTTAAATTGGCCTGAAAGTAACTGTACCATGAGGTACGAACCAAACGAAACTTTATGCCCTAATCATGGTGTTTCGTTATCCCAGCGTTAGAACTTGCAAACAATAGGTCAAAACGAATCTAAACATGTTCATGAGCAAGTATGTATGTATAAAATCAATTGAAACTTCATGAATAAAGAGTTTTAATTTTATGAAAACTAACAAATCGGTACCACTTGATATGGTCATTTTGGATGCATATCTGCTTCAAGGAGGATCAAGGTAGGTTCTTGGGACCTTTAGGAGATGGATATGACACTTGGTTTGATCTGGAAGCGGCTGGATCACAAAATATAGATTTTCAATATTCTTTGAAATTTTGAAAGTTTTCTAGGGTTCTCTTCAGGCTGTCTGTGCATGTCCGATTGATCTGGATCCCTTGTATTTATATGTGATAGCCACTAGGTTAAAAAATTTTCACCAAATCTCTATGGCTTAAAGACAAAATATGAGTTTTGAATTTTATATTAAAACTTTCCATTTTTGATTATTTCCTTGCCCTTCTTGAAATGTGATGAACCTGGTCCTTTTTCATGTACCTTGCACGATATTTAGGCTTCTCAATGGATCAAACAAAGCCCAAATGCCATAGCCCACTAGTTCTTGCATTTTATCTTCACTTATTTAATTTTAAATTAAATAAAACTCAAAATAAATGCAAGTAAAATCAAGGCCATGCAAAAATGGACTTAGAGGTCCCTTAAGACATTATAGACATGCTTGAAGTTCAAAAAGTAGGCCCATTAGCCTAAAAATGCAATTTTTCTAAATGTGTACTTTTTGAAATTTCTCAAAATTCCCCAACTTGTGTAATTCATATCTTGCTCAAATTTTATCCGTTGGAGATGGTCTTTGACTTTTTGGAAATTCCAAGATATCCTTTGCAATCTCTATTTTGATAACTTTTGCATTTGGATAGTTTATCTTGATTTAACTTGCTTTGACAAAAAATGCCTTTTTGTTGACTTTCAAAAAGACATGTAATGTATTGGCTCATATCTTTCCAATGATGCATTTTTTGGACTTTAGGAAAAAATAAAAGTTGTAGAGAATTGAACTTTATTCACAATGATATTTGGTTGGGGTAAAATGGATGAAGCATGTGAAAGTTATGCTTGGTCAAAATTCAGTTGACTTTTCTTAGGAAACCCTAATTTAGCAATTTTTTATGCTTGATGATTTGAGAGCATTCCTTGAGGAATCATGATCAACCCTGGATCAAATGATGAATATCACTTTAAAATGTTGATTTTTACTAAAAAACTTGATGTTTGACTGTATATTGACCATAGTTGACTTTTGACCCAATATAGTTGATTTTCAATCATCTGAGCAATTGACTGAGCAAACTTGTGATGCAAGGTATGAAACTTGGCATGAGCATTCTTGAGGACATATTAGGATCCATGGAAATTATTTGAGGCCTTTGAGACCAAAACTTCTTTATGAAAGGTGAAACCCTAGCTGGAAGTCCATTGTTTAGGAGGAGGATTTGTCTGGTCAATTCTTGGTAAACCTTGAGTATTTGAGGACCTCTAGGAGTATGCTTTAAATAAAAATGAGTGGAAAATTTTTGGGGTAAAACAATGGAAAAGAAAACTAATCTCCATTAACCAAAATTCACACTTAGACAGGTTTGCATACAACTTCTTCTCTTTCAAAACTTGCAATACTATTCTTAAGTGTTCTGCATGCTCTTCTTCCGATTTAGAGTAAATCAAAATGTCATCAATGAAAACCACCACAAACTGATCCAAATAAGTATGAAAGATATGGTTCATGTACTCCATGAATATTCTCGGCGAATTAGTAACACCAAAAGGCATCATTGAATACTCATAATTTCCATATCACATCCTGAAAGTCGTCTTCTAGATATTGTCATCCTTCACTTTAATCTAATGATAGCCCAACCTAAAATCAATCTTGCTAAATACACGAGCACCCACTGTTGTACCCCAAAATTTGCCCTCCCATTTCCTCAACATTTTCTCATCACAAGACCTTTGAAGATCAAGATCCAGTTAGGGTTTCCTCTGCTCAAGACTTCTCCTTGCACTGTGGACTCAAATTAGGGTTTGTGTTTGCCCAAGGATGTTTTGACCTAAAATGCCT